GCTTCAATGTTGTGAATGCAGCTAAACCAACAAACTGGCACTGACCTGATGATGAATGGCAAATTATATTTAAAAACTGTGATGATGTATTTACAGTGATGCTTCACCTATGTCCCCTCAGAAGATCTACTCTCTCTGCTTCCCACTATATCTCTGTGCAGTCCCAGATTCTGGGGTGGAAGGAGCCTGATCTACAATGGATTCCATTGGCCTCAGAGCTTTGGTCAGGTAAGCCCAGACATGCTGAGGGTGTCCTGCTCAGAGGTAGGTGCACCCTCCTACAGGGTTGAGGGTGGCAGGTAGGATGGAGGCAGGAGGCACATGTGAAGAGTCATGAAAGAAGAATTCCGCTGGGGGGGGGGGTGCGGAAAAACAGGTGTGTGGTTCCCCCTCCAATTGGGTGCCCTCTTTGTGAGGAAGGGGCACCTGGAATGAAGTCAAGGCGCTTCATTCCCTGCTGTCACCTTGCACTTAGAGCTGAGCACCAAAGGCTAGAGTAATGGCGTGCCAGTCCGTGCGTCTCTCCAGTAGACCCTGAGGGTGTTGGACCATGGCAGCTGCCAACCTGTCCATGGAGGCATCACGTGCCTGAGGCATCAGGATCCCAACCTCATTGCTGCAGGGCCCGCAGCCTTTGTGTCAGTCTTCCCGACAGACCTGCCTGCTGCTCCTGTGTCCATTTTTGCAAACCGACAAAATCATGAACTGGCAACATCAGGGGGCCCTCTCCTGCCTGGGGCTGAGCAGGTGACTGGTCTCTAACTGTCCTCCGAGTGCCAGTCACCTGGGGTACATCTTCCTTGACCAGCTGTAGAGATGTCACTGTGAAGTGCTCACCAGCCAGAGGTCCCGACTCTAATCCAGCCAACATACCCAACGAGGTGCCAGTTTCTGAGCTGGTGAAGGGTACAAGGGGCAGTCTGGCTAGTGCTTCCTCAGAGAGTTCCACACTGTTATCTTCAGAGGCAGAGGATATCATATATGGCAGCACCATCTTCCTGATTACAGAGCCCATAAAAATGCTGTGGGGACCTGCTAGAGACAAAGGAGAGAATGTCAACATTTGGGCAGGTTAAAAGTATAGAGTGTGGGCAATGGGACAGTAGCACAGCAATGGACAATGACTCTTACTTGGTTGTCGGGACATGGATATTTCTGCATATCCTGAGGACCGGTCCCAGTCTGCACCAGCGTTGTTCAAGATCATCTCCTTGTAGAGGAAGAGGAGCTAAATGTCAGGCACCTCACCATCTTCCCTGGCTCTTTCGGCCCCTACAATGGACTGTTTTTCTCCCAGAATGACAGAAACATGAGTGACATGAAAGTGGGTGGCACAGCTGTCAGTACAAGAAAGGTGGGAAGGTGTCATGAGCAAATGAGTCGGCAACGCAGGGGGCATGAGGGGTCAGTGCTGCTGAGAGTTTGCAGTGGATGACAGAGAGTGAGGGAAGATGTTGCATGCAATAACGAGAGTGGTAGAGCATGAACCTTGATGAGTTGTTGGTGAAGTAACAGAGCGGGAGTGAGTGGAAGGTTGCACAGAGTGAAGATGGTGTCACATATCCTGGCGGGGCAGAGAAAGTCGCTGAACCTCTTGCGACGTTGCTGCATTTTTCTCTTGGAGATTAAGGCTGCTCTGACCCAGGTGACAACCTCAGACCAGGCTGAGAAGTCTTCTGCCATGGTATGTTCTGCTAGCCCTGGGGGAAGAGATTAGCCTTCTGCTGCATCACCCAATTGCCAGGACCTCCAGGCCCTTGTCCGCAAACCGGGGGCACCAATTTCACCCCTGTCTGCTACATCAAAGGAAACCGTCTCCAACTGTGCAGGGTTACTCCAAATTGCTGGGAACTGGATTCTCAGAATTTCCTGTCAGTGGTGAGCATTTCTAATGATACGGAGCAGAAGAGTTGGGCTTGCATTGGCGAGCATGGTATACTAATAAATTAATGAGGCAAGTTCAGGACAATAGTGCAAGAAAACTCATTAGGTCTCGTGGAAGTAAACTCTCTGCAAAACTCAACAAAAAATGACACACAGTTAATTTCAAGAACATTCAAACCAATGTTTCTCTCTCCACAGCTACTGAGGTTCCCCAGCACTTTCTGTTTTTATTCCAGTACTTGCAATTGTTTCAATAATGGAAGCCGTGGGCTGAATACTTTCCCTTTGTATTCAAAATTACTTCACTAGGAAACCTCTCAGAATTGTGAACGGGTTATAGGTGGAATTTCTCCTCTTAAAAGAAAATCACAAGAAGAGTCACGGTTCTGATAATTTGTTTAATATTGATTTTTCTTGGCCAGAAAATTCCATTTGCTTGAAGAGATCAGATTAAGACTGACCTGCATCCTGATTTCAAGTCGTGAAAAGATCAAAGAGTGACCATTAAAAGAAATTTTGTTCTGCTGAAGGAATTCTCAACACTAAAGAAATTAATCATAATTCACTGCAATGTGTCACACTGCAACATTGAATCTGATCCCTAAGTTAGTTTTGTTAACTTTTTAAAATTTTTAAAGCATATCTCCAAGGTAAAGTGAAGGACAATTAAACCTGCCAAGCTCTCTCTGCATCATTCTTGTCAAGTTCCATTTAATTTAAGCATCGCCATGTGGAATAAGAGGCTCAGAATGCTGGAGTGCCAATTAACTATTCAAAATCTTTCGAGTCTGATGATTAATGTTTGTGCAAGGGATGATCAAAGTGAGATGTTTGAGATTGTTAAAGGAATTAATGGGATAGATAGACCCGCTGACAAAGGTGCCGGCTTAATAAGGCAGACATTAATATAAGAGGAACATAGAAACAGGAGTAGGCCGTTCAGCCCCTCAAGCCTGTTCTGATCTTGGCTGATCTGTGGCTGAACTCCATACATCTGCCTTTTGCCCATATTCCTAACACCTTCGCTTAACAAAAACTGATCTAGAATTCACTATCATTCGTGGAAGAGGTAAAACCATTGAGCATAGCTTCATGAAGACACTCATCATAAAGAATAGTGCAAACTTGGAACTTTCTCCTGCTGAAAATGCTTTCAAAAACAGATCAATTGAACATTATGAAATCGAGATTTGTAGGTTTTTTTTAAACCAAAGGTATTCGCGGGTATGCAACTGAAGGGTTAAGATACAAATCACTGAATGATCTAATTGAATGGTGGGACAGGTTTAAAGGGCTGAATGGCCAATAGTAAAACTCTCCTGATATCCTTTTATCAGAACACAAACACACATTGATGTGCATACTTGAATGTTGAGTTACTCTGTAACACCTTGATCAGATGGGCCATTGGGCCGAGGAGTGGCAGGTGAGGTTTAATTTAGATAAATGTGAAGTGCTGCATTTTGGAAAGGCGAATCAGGGCAGAACTTATACACTTAATGGTAGGGTCCTGGGGAGTGTTGCTGAACAAACAGACCTTGGGGTGGAGGTTCATAGTTCCTTGACGATGCAGTCACAGGTAGATAGGATAGTGAAGAAGGCATTTGGTACACTTGTCTTTATTAGTCAGTGCATTGAGTATAGGAGACTGTTGGAATCAGGTGGACAAACAAGAGGCTGGAAGAACACAGGCAGCACCTGGAGGAAAGGAGCAGTCAACGTTTTGGGTATTACCTTTCTTCGGGACTCTAGTCTCGCCCCCTTGGTCCAGGCACTCTCGACCTACATCCGGGACACAAGCCACGCCCCCCCACCTCTATTGGAAACTTCCAGTTCCCTGGCCCCCAGTGCTTCATCTTTATTTTGGAGCTGCAATCCCTGTACACGCCCATACCCCACAAGGACAGCCTACAGGGCCTCAGTTTGTTCCTCTCCAACAGGCCCAACGAGTCCCCACCCCCCATCAATACCCTCCTCCGCCTTGCCGAACTAGTCCTCACCCTCAATAACTGTTCCTTCAATTCTTTTCACTTTCTCCAAATCTAGGGGTTTGCCATGGGCACTCACATGAGTCCCAGCTATGCCTGCCTATTTGTAGGTTATGTCGAACAGTCCCTCTTCAGTACATACACTGGTACTGTTCCCCAACTCTTCCCCCATTACATCGATGACTGTATCTGTGCTGCATCCTGCACCACGGCTAACTGGAGCACTTCATCAACTTCGCTAACAACTTTCACCCTGCCCTCAAATTCACTTGGTCTATCTCAGACACCTCCCTCCCCTTTCTTAACCTCTCTGTTTCCATTTCTGGCGCCAGTTTACGGACTGACATTTGCTATAAACCCACAGACTTGAGTCCTGAAGAAGGGTAACACCCGAAACATTGACTGCTCCTTTCCTCCAGATCCTGCCTGGCTTGCTGTGATCTTCCAGCCTCCTGTTTGTCTATATTGAGTGTAGGAGTTGGGATGCTATGTTGCTAACTGACAAGACATTAGTTAGGCCACATTTGGAGTACTGCATTCAATGCTGCTAGTAAAGATGTTGTTAAACTTGAAAGGGTTTGGAAAAGATTTACAAGGAGGTTGCTGGGGTTGAAGGGTTTGAGCTTCCTGTGATGGAGGCTGGTACAATTACGACATTTAAAAGGCATCTGAATGGGTACATGAATAGGGAGGGTTTAGTGGGATATGGGCCAAATGCTGGCAAATGGGACTGGATTAATTTAGGATATCTGGTTTGCATGGACAAGTTGGGCCAAAGGGTCTGTTTCCATGCTGTGCGATTCTATGACTTTTTATTAATCTGTCAGTTGGACTAGAAAAACCAGATTACATCACATGGGGAGCTGGCTTGTGAAAATTTGGATTACAAATCCAGAACATGATGCTTGGTCATTGGTTCAATTTCTATATTACAAAGAGATCACTGATACCCTAAACATTTACTATCCACAATGACAAATTGCAAACCCTCTACTTGAACATGACAATTGACAGAACCCATCTGCTGGCTTAATTATGCAACAGAACACCAAGACACAAATTGGAGACAACGTCTCAAAGTTCAAAGTCCTATTAAAGGGCCCGACTGCATTCCATGGTAAAACTCACTTTTGTCGTCATTTTTGCAAGAAGCTCCTGGAGGTCCATGATGCCTTGCACCAGGTTAAGGAAGTCACTGCACGTTGGGCATGCTCCAAAAAGACAAAAATGAAACAACAAGATGCAAGGGTGAGAATCTGGCAAGTGGCAGAATACATGGAGCTCAATGCTTATGACCCTAACAGAAATCATGCAAATTAACTAAAAGCATGTGTTCATTTTTGTTAGTTACCATGGTGATGGCAGGCTGACTTAACTTGCTTTGCATCACCTTCACAAACAATGCAAAGTAGTATTGACAGGCATAATATGACATTACACTCTCACATTTAGGTGCTCTTGATCTCCATAGCAATGACTAAAAAAGCCTTATCTTGTCACCTTGGAATTTGTGGCAAGCCTGCATGAAAGTATGTATTTCATGAACCTGTATTTCCACATTATCTCCATACAGCTCTTGGTGTGACTCATCAAAACAGTGCAGTCAGTGATGTTTTTGTGAGTTGCACTGTGTTCTCATCCCCGTACAAACCATTTATGTGAAAAGCATAAGGTTGTGCTTACACTTTTCAAACTTGAAAAGCAGTTAATTTTTCCACTGGTTTGGTGAGTAGATTTGCAATACCATTCAGATGCACTTTTTTGACGAAAATATTCTGAAAAGCTATTTATCCACACAAATTAAACTTGCTCATAATTTGGTTAAAATAATGCATTTTTTTTAGTCAAGTGAAAAAACACTAAAACTGAAAAAGGAGTAGTGCCCTTCATTTGTTTAGAAAACCACAAATTTTCTTGTATAGATTCCTCCAACAGAGACAAAAGTAGCAATCACAATTTTTTTTTTAACCAATGGCTTGAAATCCTGTTGACCAAAGCTCTTGGCTTTACTTCTGGTGATAGCTGTGAAAATAATTAGCTACAATTGCATCCAAAAGTTTCATAATCTGGCAAAAAAATTAACTTTGGCATGGTTAAGCGAGTGGGCAAGGATCTGGCAGATAAAATACAATGTTGAGAAATATAAGGTCATCATTTTGGTAGGAATAACAGCAACACGGATTATTATTTAAATGGTGAAAAATTGCAGCATGCTGCTGTGCAGAGGGGCCTGGGTGTCCTTGTGCATGAATCACAGAAGGTTGGTTTGCAGGTGCAGCAGGTAATTCAGAAGGCAAATGGAATATTGCCTTTCATTGCCAGAAGGATAGAGTTTAAAAACAGAGAGGTTATGCTGCAGCTGTATAGGGTGCTGATGAGGCCACATCTGGAGTACTGTGTACAGTTTTGGTCTCCTTACTTGAGAAAGGATGTACTAGCACTGGATGGACTGCATAGGAGGTTCGCTATGTTGGTTCCAAAAATAAGGGTGCTGGCTTATCATCATAGAAAGCCTACAGTGTGGAAACAGGCCATTCAGCCCAAAAAGTCCACACCACCCATCTGAACAGCATCCTGCCCACACCCCTACCCCTGCATTTCCCTTGTCTAACGCACCTAACCTAAACATCCCTGGGCACTATGGGAAATTTAGCATGGCCAATCCACCTACCCTGCACATTTTAGGACTGTGGGAGGAAACTGGAGCACCTGGAGGAAACTCACGCAGACACAGGAAGAATGTGCAAACTCCACACAGCCAGTTGCCTGTGGCTAGAATTGAACCAGGGTCCCTGGTGCTGTTAGGCAGCAGTGCAAACCACTGAGCCACGGTGCCACCCCACGGAGGAGAGTTGACTAGACTGGGACTATTCTTATTGGAATTTAGAAGAATGAGGGGGGGTTCTTATAGAAACATATACAGTTATGAAAGAAATAGACAAGACAGAAGCAGGAAAGTTGTTTCCAATGGTGGGTGAAACTAGAACTGGGGGGCATAGCCTCAAAATAAGGGGGAACAGATTTCGGACTCAGTTAAGGAGGAACTTCTTCACCCAAAGGGTTGTGAATCTGTGGAATTCCCTGCCCAGTGAAACATTTGAAGCTACCTCGTTGAATACTTTAAGGCAAAGGTAGATAGATTTTTGAAAAGTAAGGGAATTAAAGGTTCTGTTGAGTAGGCACGTAAGTGGAGCTGAGTCCACAAAAAGGTCAGCCAAGATCTTATTGAATGGCAGAGCAGACTCAAGGGGCCGGATGGCCCACTCCTGCTCCTATTTCTTGTGTTCTCATGTTCCTATGTCTTGTTCTGGCAAATAGAATACAATAATAGCACAAATCTGTTTAGCCCATGATTAATGTTTACAATAGGACATATATGGAACTGCAAGTAAGGGCAAGAATACCTTTATGGAAACACTCCAATCAGCTCTTTGTACTGGCATCAATATGAAAACATTATACAATATATAAAGGTTCCAAACCATTCCCTGGTCCACAGCCAGAGTTTCAAGTTCATTTCACCTTACTGATAGTCACCTCAGTGGACTGTTACACTCCAGCTTTACAGTTTTGTACGCTGTAGGATTAACTACTACTTGCTAATGTTTGGGAAGGTGTATTGCATTAAACTTCCCTTCTATATTGGAAGTGCTGGAAGAAGAACTGCAAATTAGTCTTAACAAGAAGAGGAACTTGGCTTAACAATAAGATGTATTTTATTGAATAACAGCAATAGGTACATTGGCTACAACAAATACAGAGAATGCTGCAGGAACTCAGCAAGTCTGGTAGCATTTCTGGACAGAGAAGCAGAGTTAACCTTTCTGACTCTTTTTCAGAAATTCTTGAGACGCTCACCAGACCTACTGAGTTCCTCCAGTAAATTCTGTAGTTGTTTCAGATTTCCAGCGTCTGCAGGATTCTGATTTTATTCAGTACATTGGGAGTCATAAATAACTGTAATAGACACATCTAACTCCATTGGGCTCTTGAACTAGACTCCCCTAGTCTCCATCCAAGATTGTGTAGCATCATCCAATCAGGAGAACGTTTATGCAATTTCCAATGTTAACCCTTTCAGAACCAGTACGTTTTGCAACATATGCCCAACAAGACTGGGAATCACCAACTCCACCTACCCATTGTATCATCAACCTTGTAAAAGGGTTTGGCAAGGACTCTAAGTCCTTTATTAGACCAAACAAGTCAGACTGAGAAACAAGCAAATCTGGCTCCCAGTCTATTTTTCTGAAGAAGGTTCCAGATCCGAAATGTCAGCTTTTCTGCTCCTCTGATGCTGCTTGGCCTGTTGTGTTCATCCAGCTCTACACCTTGTTATCCCAGCCTATTCCTGGGATTTTGCAATGCACTCCACCTATAGTGTGGTAGTGATGTATAAATGAGGGGCCACGCAAATTTAACCCAGTGGAAATGAGGCTAAGAAAAAGCAGAGGCAGGAGGGGAGTGGAATATTTAGAGTGCTGTTAATGCCGGCTGACAGAAAAATTCACATTTTATTAAGAAAATACATGACAGACAGTATGATGTTGATATCACCAAGACTTTTGCATAAAGCAAACACCTCTATACTATCAATGCACTTGCCTTCAATTGCTACTAGTTCAATGTAATTGAAGGAAAATGAGAAATAACACATGGTGCACTTTCAACTAAAAACACCATCTATCGCAGTGTGCACTTATGTCTAGCTGCAGAGAAAGCCATCCAAATGTGAGGGAAGGGAAATATGAAGAGAAAATTCTCCTCTCTATGCAGCACTGAGATTATTAAATATCTTAAATTGTGAACTGTAATGTCTTAATGTTGATAACCTACTTAAAAATTCATATTTGCATTTGTAGCCTGACACAAGACCCTGATTGCAGATGATAATGTATTTTTACAACTGCTTGACCTCTTGCACCTGTATTAATGACATGCTTTCGCACATAATTTGTCATCTCATTTTGTGCCTTTTATGCATCATTCAAATTGGGCTCAAATCTTTTGTTTCTAGGAACAGGCGATACCAAGAAACACCTCATGGCCAAAGACAAAACACATGTATCACTAACAAATTTGCAAAGTGTTTCAGAGCGCCCCCAAATGGAGAAATATATTTGAAATAATATTTCAAATTCAGTGTTGTTTGAGAAAACTGCTAAAATGCAAGTGCAAAAAAGCCACCTCTAAAGAATACATTATTCAACCAAATGAAACATTATACAGCACTTCGCTCTCACTGTGCCAAATCTCTAATCAAATTGAGCAAACCAACCAAACATTCAGTGTTCCTCATTCGACTGGTTGCCAACATTCATCAACCAAATGCCAAACAAAAGAGAAGTATGAAGGCAAGGAATTAGAAAACAATTAACCAGCACAAAATAATCACTTTGCCATGCTTTGTGTTTCAAGTTAATCATTCATTTGGAGGTCAAGTGTTACAACACAACGCAATTAAGAGGTCAGTCACTTTACTTTCCTGTTGACCTTGGTATCTAAGCTACAGATTGGACATAGATGGCAAATCTAGTGTCCTCCTCAGACCTTAATCTGAACTCTACTGTGGGAACATGGCAAAATAGGAGCAGGCCATTTGGCCCCTTGAGTCTCTTCTGCCATTCAATCAGATCATGGTTGATTTTTTTTACCACAACACCATTTTGCCACATTTGTCACAATGTGTTGTGATATTGTTAATATTGAGAACTCGAATGATCTCTGTTTTGGACAGACCCAATGACTGAGCTTCTATGAAAGAGGGGTGGAGGCTCCAATGATTGGCAGCAAGCGGAAGGTTTCCATGGGATCAAGAGATGGATTCCTGCTCTTTCTGGCATACAATCACTGCCAACATTCTCTACAAATTATCATTGCAGCAGCTTGCAATGACCCATTTAGGAACCACTCACTCATCCCTCACCATTCAATTCCAATGCCACACCAAAACTACTGTGGTCCTTAGCATATCATGAGAAGTCAAATATAAATATTTGACCAAGACTCCTCTCTGTTTCAAGAGGGAGGCCACCTCAAAAGTGACACTGTGCATGGTAACAAAGTGGATGTAATCATTTGCTAGTATGGAATTTGAGTATTATAGATAAAAAGAGTCAGAGTATTTTGCCTAGCAGTCATCAGGACAATTTCCAAAAATACCACTGTAAAGGCAAGAATTTTTAGACTGTTTCGGCAGAGTTTGCTGATTTGT